ACAGCAAGGAGATCATCTCGTATTATTGAGAAGACCAAACTCTCAGCAATACCAGTCTCTTCATCCTTTAGAGAAAGTGCTGAAAAAATTCTGCCTCGTGGACGGTGTAAACACTTAGTTACTTTGACTGCCACAAGCTCAGCAAGACAAGGATCAATGTCTTCAAAGATCACCTCCAGAGATAATGTTGGTAAATGTGTCGATACCTCGGAAGATAGTGTGTTGTTTACTCGAGGTAAATTGAACACTAAGGGAACTGGTTCATCAGTAAGTCAGAATTGCACATTTGTATTAAAGGGAAAACTGTCTACAACCAATAAAACGGAACCAGTTCATGAAAACCACTCAAGTAAATTGAATCGTAAAAAGAAAACTGCTAAGAAGGAAAGCTCTTCAAGGTTACCATTTATTAAAACTGAGAGTAACTCTCAAGTTTCATTAACTAGTGCTCCATTTAAGAATGCAAATAAACAGTCAGGAAAAGGCACCAATAAAACTAGCAAAGCTTCTGTTGTGAATGAGAAGAAATCCTCAGACATTGGTAAGAAAAGGCTAAAAGATATGGAAGAAGCTTCTGGCGAGTCATCATGCATGGGACTGCGTTCCAGGAATCGACAGCAGATGTCGAGTCTAAATTGTCAGACTAGTACCATTGGGCAAACTTCTACAATTAAGTGCGGAAGAGGTATTAAAAGCAGTAAGCCTTTAAATAAGGCGCTGAGTAATACTAGTGACCAAAAGAAAGGTGCAGTTAATGCCACTCAGCAGCACCAGAAGCCAAGTACTGCACAATCTGCAGGACCATGTGTTGTAAAATATGAAAATTTAAGGAAAAATAAACATGAAATTAGCATAGATGAACCAAGTGTACCAGCCTCATTACCCAAAACAAGAGGTGCAGCTACCAGAACATCTGTACGTGTTAAGAAAGGTGACGCAGAACCTACAACAGTCCGCAGCAAGCTGCCGGGAGGCTCAGTTTTAACTAAAGCAGGACAGTCCTCTAGTAAGTTTAATCACTGGAACTCTTCTTAAGTTTGTAGTTGGGTCATCAACAGATGTACTTGGCAGGGTGGTCTTCTAGTTCTGATTGTGTAGTAAAAATGTTTTGTGAAAGGTAAGGAATTAGTTAACTAACTTGTATGAGATGATTCAAGGTGTGTGTAATAGTAAATTATAATGAAATAATTCACAATTTAGTTTGATCAGATTGGCACAGTATATTTGTCCAGTGTGTTTGAGTTCACTAAAGCGGATGTTGAGAGTAAAAGCTCCATTGAATTGTCATCACTTCAGCAGTAAACATTTTGAACTTGTTTCTCTCTCTCTCTCTCAATTTTTTTTTTTCTCAATCTTCCCCTTTTCTTTCTTTCCTTATTTCTCCATTTCTTTTAATTCTCCTCTTTTTCTCATCCTCCCACCATTGTAGTTCCTCTTCCTCTCCCCATCCTGATTCTCCACCATCATCCTCTTTTCTTCCCCCTCCCCTCTCTCCCACTCCCTGTTTCCCCTTCTCCCCTCTCCCTCCCTTTTTCCTTTCTTCCCTACCAGCCTCTCCTAGTACAAGAGAATATAGTCTTGATGTTAAGTAATGTGTACAAGGAAGTAAGTTGTGGTGAAGCAGGTTAGTACTGCAGTGTATGGGAGTGTTGACGTGGTTCAACTTAACAACCTTAGAGGGAAGGTTAAGAAGAATACTTTAGCATGTACGTAGTTAAAACAGTGTAATGCACTTTATTTCTGACTGACATGACCAATTTGACTTTACAAGAGCTGTGCAAGAATTACAGCAGAGTGCCAGATCAACCAGGCTGTGATGGATACTTGGGCTATTTGGCTTGCCAGCTGTAACAGCCTGGTTGATCAGGCAAGCACCAGACAAGCCTGGTCCAGGGCCTGGCTGTGGGAGTACGAGAACTCGTGAAGCCTCAGGAGGTATACCAGAAGTATATCCTGTGGTTCTGCTTTTTATCAGCACCAAAGCTGTCAGGGATACCATCCTTATAGGATATCCCCTCTGTTGATTAACATTAAGGATGCTTTATTCATCGTCAGAATCTTAAATAGTGTTAGAGTAATAATAAAATAGTAATAAATAAAAGACCACACATTACAGTAATAAAGAACAAACTTCTGTATTTATCACCCTTAAAAACTACTGGCTCAGTGTGTGCTGCCTGGTACAGTGGTACCCTAAGTTTCGTACAGCTCCCAACTCGAACCATTATGTAAGTGTATTATTTATTGTAAGTTCTTTAAGTATTTTTGGGGGTGTGCAACGGACTAATCTAATTTACATTATTCCTTATGCGGGAACAAATTCACTCGGTAACGGCACTCTAACAGCCTTCAGGAACGAATTATGGCCAAAACTCGGGGTACCAATGTAGTTGCTACCCCTGGGCAGAGTAGAATTTTCCTTCGACGGGGGAGATTACTCCCCCCCCCCCTCCATTACAGGAGAGCCCTGCTTATACTGCAGGTTAGGTTCTGGGTTACTACTGTAAAGTGAAACATAGACAGTTTTCACCTTCCAAATGTATAAGAAAGTCTAGTATGTTAAAACTATCATATATTAAGTGAGCAATAGAGCTAGGCCTAAAAATGCATATACACCTCACTCATTACTTACCTTAAAATATTTTCATCCTTAGCTTATTGCGAGTGGTGAACATATTTATTGTAAGAAGTCTGAATAAACGAAGAATGGCTATAATTGAAAACTGCTGTATTAGTGAAACGCTGTAAAGTGAGACCCTCCCATATATACTACTACAGTAAAGTTCTGCTCATTTAGAAGCTTAACCCTTGAACTGTCCAAACGTAGATCTACGTTTTTTCAAAATTTGAAAGTATGTAAAAAAACGTAGATCTTTTTTTTTTTTTTTTTTTTTTTGAAAGTGTAAAAAATCTTTGATCTACTTTTTTTTTTATATTTGAAAATATGTAAAAAAACGTACATCTACTTTTGGAGCACTACGCATGTGAACATAAATTTGTTTGGACAGTTTAAGGGTTAAATGAGTTAGGTGCACTCAAGGGTGGGAGGAGTAAGGGCTGGTGATGCAGATTGAAGCTACAGGTGTACCACTCTTTAGAGTGCTTCGCTACTATGGCGCTTTTCAATTATACAGTGGACCCCCGCCTTACGATCAGCTCCCAACTCGACCAATTATGTAAGTGTATTTTTGTACGTGCTTTTGTATGTGTATTTTTGGGAGTCTGAAACTGACTAATCTAATTCACAATATTCCTCATGGGAACAAATTTGGTCGGTAACGGCACCCGAACAGACTTCTTGAATGAAATAATATCGTAAGGCGGGGGTCCACTGTATTAGTATTAATTATTTTCTTCAGTTCAGACTTGAATAACCACCTCCTTTGTGATTTAATTAATGATAAGCTGTGATTTAATTAATAATGATAAGCAAACCAGTCATCTCTCTAGTTGACTCATGATTGATAAAGTATAAACATGAATATTCTGTTGGTTGTTAATATTTTTAATTAGACTATCACAAAACAAGTTTAAATGGGCTTGAGTAGCCAGTTACACTCACACTTGGCCTAATTTTTATATTCTATAATTTTCAGTAGCGGTAACTGGTAAAGTTTATCGAAATATGTGTACATATTTGGCCACTATTATTTGGAAATAGTAAAGCAAACTATAAAACGAAGTTATGTTTTGTGGTTTAGGGTTTGGCATTGTTTTAAATGCAGTAATGTAACAGTCTACAAAAACTCGGTACATCTGTTTCTCTTACTGTTATTTAACTGGTGCATTTCTCTATCCTTCTGTTGTAATTCAGTTTATAATGATGTATAACAGTGCTTCATACAACTTCAGAATACCGAGTGTCTGTATGTAACTACCTGGATATTTAATGATTATTTATTGTTAACTAAAAAAATGCAGCAGTCAGATTATTAAGAGACATGTAAGTGATTTCTAATAATATGTTCATTTTTCTCCTGTAATCTGAACTTTGCTCAGACCTCTACAAAATTGTCCTCAAAGATGTAAGTTATACCATGAATTAAGGAAAGATCCTGGACTTCACCCTTCGAAACAATGCAAATGCAATAGTAATTATGGACACGGTAGATTATAGCGGAAAAACAAACATGTTATTAGAAGACTGGAGAACCGACGTGCCTCTTAATGCCGATTTTGGCAGAAAGCTTGTTGCTACGCTACTGCCCCTTCACTCTGCCATTGATCGTTGAGAGAAAATGTGACATTAGGGTGCACTGTATTCATGTAGATACACTGACAGTTGTAAACTTTGCCTGAGATATACTTGTTGCTGTATATTACTGTCCAGTACTTGTTCTATAAGGAGTTAAGGTGAAAAATATACAATTGTTGGTTGTATGTCCTACATTGTATTATAACCACCTCCAGCTTGAGTATTATTTTGAGGGTGTATTGTAACATTAGTAAGCTCTAATACATGCTTTCTTATAAAACTTCAAATGTGATTTTTTTTTTTTTTTTTTTTTTTTTTTTTGCAAGTGTGACTGAAAAAGTACAAAGAAAATTGAATAGCATGTAGAAAGGCCTTCACAGTATTACATGCTATTAAATTTGGTAACACTTTCTCAATCACATTTACAAAATCAAACTAGAGCTTTATAAGGGGTAATTATACCTGTAAAATAACACATCTTGGTAGTATAGAGTAGAATAATTTTGGTGAAGAGGTTTTATAAGACCACCTTGTGTGACTACTGTAGTTGCTACTGGCCTACAGTGTTTGACCCAGTTGTTATTATGAAGTAAGTAGTTGTTAGTAGAGTGCCCTTGAGTGCCAATAATGCATCAGCACATGCAAACATGCATGCTATTACTAACTCCAGAAACATATTTAACTCATCATTTATGCACATATAGTACTATATATGCAAAGAAATTGTAATTATTAGTAGTTTATAAGATTAAAGTTACTCTGTCCTGCCTCCTTTACCTATTTATAACTATTTAAATCTTCAGATAGTTGTGGAGAAGATATCGTCCTCCTTTGTGGGTGGAAGAGGGGGTGGGTCTGTGGCTGATATAAATTGTTTATAGATGTGAACAAAATGTAATAAGATAGTGCTTGCTGAGTATAGGGCATCAACTGTTTCTAGATAAATTCTAATATTAACAAGTTAATTTTCATGTCAACAGACACAGAAAAGTTGCCTGGGGGTGGTGGGATACTAAAATCATACCCTCTGCGGAATCGACTGCGCCTTAGTGACGGTGGGGGCGGTGGTGGTGGTGGTGGTGTCGGCAGTGGTGGTGGTAGTAACCCGCTTACTGCTGGCCGCTTGGAGCAGCAGGGTCAGGTAAAGTATATTAAAGAATACTCTAAATGGACTCTAATTTATATCACTTCCCTGGTATGTAGATAAAATGGTAAAACCCTCAGTGCAAAATAGAGTACAACAGTAAAGAATAAATATGCACAATACCATAACTGGAACAATACACAAATAACCCTCGCATAGAAGGAACTTAAGACAGCATTTCAGTCCAACTTTCATCATTACCCAGTCACACACTAACACGAAGGTATGGGAGCCAGTATATAATAATGTGTGACTAGTTAATGATGCAAGTTGGACCAAAACATCATGAGTTTTTTCTCCTATGTGTGGGTTATTTGTGTATAAACACAGTAATGTACTCTGCTGCCCATCTCCAGGACCACAGTCTGGTTAACTGGTTTTCTCTATTCCCTTCATAAATTTAACCTTACTTGCTCTCCAAAAGCACATCAAAATATTCTAAAAGTAATTTCTCTACTTGATTTAACACATTAATACAGTGGACCCCTGACTTAGGATCAGCTCCCAACTCGAACAATTATGTAAGTGTATTTTTGTAAGTGCTTTTGTAAGTGTATTTTTGGGGGTCTGATACAGACTAATCTAATTTACAATATTCCTTAAGGGAGCAAATTCATTTGGTAACGGCACCCGAACAGCCTTCTGGAACGAATTAATATCGTAAGTCGAGGGTCCACTGTACATGCTTGCTGCATGCCAGAGTCCTCTACCTCTTAACTTCCAGCTCTCTGAGACTTCTCACTTCAACATTCCAAAATCTTAATTTTACTTGATATTTATTTCTGGAGAAACTAGCTAAGTTTTTGGCATCTATTGAAATGTAAACAAGACCCAAGCAAAAAGAATCTGCTATTTGACAAAAATTTCTCGTGTATATTATTTCTCGATAAGTTATGCTGGAGGAGGGGGCTCTTGTTTACACTTTGAATAAAACTACTGTTGCTCTGGCTGTCTCACTAATGTCTTCAGATTGCGCTGTCATGCCTGTGTCCTTCTGTAAAGAAAGCTAGACAGAAAATACATACAGTAATGGTGAATGTATTTTCTTTCCTGCTGTGGTAGGAAATAGTAAATGTATAAGATAAAAAATAAATGGGTCATAATAATTGAGACAAGTGTGTTTACCCTACAGTCACAGTCTTTGCCATCATCACCTTCCTCCCAAGGAGTTGCCTTCTTGGCTGATACCTTCAGGAGACTGAGGGAGTCACGGCGCTCGTCGCAGGAACAGTCGTCTGCAACAAGTAAACGAAACACAACGCAGACCAAAGATTCGAGACAGTCGGCAGGTGAGTTCAGTTAAGCATAGTATTGTACATAGTAAGCATCCAGTATGTATCAAGAAAATTGTGATTTATAAATATTGTTCTCAAATCTTTTCTTGGTGAATTGACTTAATGAGGAGATTCAAGATATTGAATATTATTTTTTCACTGTACAAAAAACTAGAGGTGGTGTGAGAGCAATTTAGGATTATTTTATTTGGCTATAATCTACATGCATTTGTTAGGTGCTTGTTCTGGTATATAGTTTGGAAAGATGACATGCTTTCCAAAGCATTAATTTAATATGCATGAAAAAGCTGACAGGAAATCTCAAGGCTTCTTCAGGTAATCCAAATAGTGTGACTTATTTTGTGTTCATTTTCAAGTAAAGGTTTCTAAGTGTTGGTTGTAGGTTTTATGTACTCTTAATACCATGCTTGTAATTCCAGGAACTTGGAAGAGAACACACGGAGCCAAAAAATCACCTCTTTCTTCTAAACGCAGTAGTCGCAGTAAAACCAACAACACGGGGTCGTGTGCCAGTAGCAGGTACTGAAATGAAACTTAAGATAACCCCCCTTTTTTATATATAAACACTTAATATATATAAAATGTATATGTAGTAAACAAACCATACCATGGTTGGGGATAGAACCCATGATCAGAGTCTCAAAATTAGTAGTAGGTTGGTAGCAACCATCCAGGGAGGTACTACCGTCCTGCCAAGTGAGTGTAAAATGAAAGCTTGTAATTGTTTTACATGATGGTAGGATTGCTGGTGTCTTTTTTTCTGTCTCCTAAATATGCAAGATTTCAGGTATGTCTTGCTACTTATACTTAGGTCACACTACACGTATATGTACATGTTTATGTGTATACACTCAGATGAGTTTCTTTGATTTTATCTTAATAATTCTTCTTGTTGCTTTTCCTTTTATATCCATGGGGAAGTGGAATAAGAATTTTTCCTCCGTAAGCCATGCGTGTTGTAAAAGTCGACTAAAATGCTGGGAACAATGGGCTAGTAACCCCTTTTCCCGTATAGCCTACTAAAAAGAAAAAGAAGAAAACCGTCAAAGTGGGACGTTTGAATGTTCGTGGATGTTGTGCAAATGATAAGAAAGAGATAATTGTAGATGTTTTGAATGAGAAGAAGCCGGATGTCCTGGCTTTAAGTGAAACAAAGCTGAAGGGGGTGGAAGAGTTTCAGTGGGGAAAAATAAATGGGATTGGGTCTGGGGTTTCAAATAGAGCTTATGGAATAGTAGCAATAATATGAAGGATAAGTTATGGCAGGAAAAGAGGGAATATAAATGTATTAATTCAAGGATTATGTGGAGTAAAATAAGGTTTGGATGTGAAAAATGGATTATAGTAAGTGTTTATGCACCTGGAAAAGAGAGAGAGATTGAGAGAGAGAGAGATTGAGAGAGAGAGAGATTGAGAGAGAGAGAGATTGAGAGAGAGAGAGATTGAGAGAGAGAGAGATTGAGAGAGAGAGAGATTGAGAGAGAGAGAGATTGAGAGAGAGAGAGATTGGTGAGAGAGAGAGATTGAGAGAGAGAGAGAGATTGAGAGAGAGAGAGAGATTGAGAGAGAGAGAGAGATTGAGAGAGAGAGAGAGATTGAGAGAGAGAGAGATTGAGAGAGAGAGAGAGATTGAGAGAGAGAGAGAGATTGAGAGAGAGAGAGAGATTGAGAGGGGAAGGAGTGAGAGAGAGATTGGAGAGAGAGAGAGAGATTGAGAGAGAGAGAGAGATTGAGAGAGAGAGAGAGATTGAGAGAGAGAGAGAGATTGAGAGAGAGAGAGAGATTGAGAGAGAGAGAGAGAGATTGAGAGAGAGAGAGAGAGATTGAGAGAGAGAGAGAGAGATTGAGAGAGAGAGAGAGAGATTGAGAGGAGAGAGAGAGAGATTGAGAGAGAGAGAGAGATTGAGAGAGAGAGAGAGATTGAGAGAGAGAGAGAGATTGAGAGAGAGAGAGAGATTGAGAGAGAGAGAGAGATTGAGAGAGGAGAGAGAGAAATTGAGAGAAGAGAGAGAGATTGAGGAGAGGATGAGAGAGGGAGAGAGATTGAGAGAGAGAGAGAGATTGAGAGAGAGAGAGAGATTGAGAAGAGAGAGAGTAGGATTGAGAGAGAGAGAGAGATTGAGGAGAGAGAGAGATTGAGAGAGAGAGAGATTGAGGTGAGAGGAGAGATTGATGGGAGAGATGAGAGAGAGAGAGAGAGAGATTGAGGAGAGAGAGATTGAGAGAGAGAGATAGAGGAAGAAGAGAGAAGAGATTGAGAGAGAGATGAGAGATGAGAGATGAGGGGAGAGATTGAGAGAGAGAGAGAGAGAGAGAGAGAGAGAGAATTGGAGATGAGAATTAGGAAGAAATAGTTGACTGATGTGTGTGGACAGTTTTGAACCAAGTGTGAGAGTACTTGTGGTTGGGAATTTCAATGCTTAAGTGGGTAAAAATGTTATGGAGGGAGTAGTAGGTAAATTTGGGGTGCCAGAGGTAAATGAAAATGGGGAGACCTTTAATTGAGCTATGTGTAGAAAGACGTTTGGTAATAAGTAATAAATATTTCATGAAAAAGAGGATTAAGTATACAAGGTATGATATAGCACATAATGAAAATTTGTTAGATTGTATGGTGGATAAAAGGTTGATGAGTAGGCTTCAGGATGTACATGTTTATAGAGGGGCAACTGATATATCAGATCATTATTTAGTTGTAGCTACAGTTAGAGTAAGAAGTAGATGGGACAAAAGGAAAATGGCAACAAGTAAGAGAGAGGTGAAAGTGTATAAACTAAGGGAGGAGGAAGTTCGGGTGAGATATAAGCAACTATTGGCAGAAAGGTGGGCTAGGTGCAGGTATGAGTAGTGGGGGGGTTGAAGAGGGTTGGAATAGTTTTAAAAATGCAGTATTAGAATGTGGGGCAGAAGTTTGTGGTTATAGGAGGGTGGGGGCAGGAGGAAAGAGGGGTGATTGGTGGAATGATGAAGTAAAGGGTGTGATAAAAGAGAAAAAGGTAGCTTATGAGAGGTTTTTACAAAGCAGAAGTGTTGTAAGAAGAGTGGAGTATATGGAGAGTAAAAGAAAGCTGAAGAGTGTGGTGAGAGAGTGCAAAAGGAGAGCAGATGATAGTGAGAGAGACACTGTCGAGAAATTTTGATGAAAATAATGAATTTTGGAGAGAGAAAAAAAAAGTTAAGAAAGCCTAGGGAACAAATGGATTTGTCAGTTAAAAACAGATTAGGGGAGTTAGTAGATGGGGAACTGGAGGTATTGGATAATGGTGGGAATATTTTGGGGAACTTTTATATGTCGATGAAGGTAATTTCATGCACTGGCCAGGGAGGTATAACATCTTTTAGGAGTGAAGAAGAGCAGGATATGAG